CTCGCGTGGCGCAGGTGAAGCCACGGACATTCACATCGAGAATCTGCGCGATGGCCTCAAAGGTCAGCTTATCGCTGGTGGCCAGGTGGGCAGGCATGTTACGGGTATGCAGCCAGGCTAAGAGAGTCGGGACCAATCAGTCGCGTTCGCCCCTTCTTGATGAACGAGTGCAAACCAATATTAATATTAAATTTACTAAGTGACTCTTCTAGTCCAACATTTGTAAAAGTAAGCTAGCTTCTTCTCTATAGTTTATTATCTAAACCATGGATGCATAAGCTAGTGGGCTACACTGGCACTTGATGGAACTTGGTTACAATCAGATTATACATAACTCCTGCATGCCAGTTATCCTGAAAATATGCTTTCAGTTGATATTTATTCGCAGTTATCAGTATTAGATATAATAAGTTGAAAAAGAGCTTTCTTACCAACGGTTTTGAACAATATAATCAGCAAACTTAAGTTGAATATAATAACAGCAACATAATTTGCTCAGAAGCCGTAAGTGACTTTAATAGACAAGTGGTTTGCACAGTTAATGAGACGTTTCTGTCTGATTTCGCGATATATTATTACAACAACTGAAACCGGAATATTCAAAAGGCCCTCGTGCGTGTAGATATATAGGTTGGAGGTATTTACACTGATAAAAGTATAGGATATTCTAATTTAGTGGTGCTTCGATTCTTTGCCTGAAATATTGCACGTAGTTTCATAGCAAATAGCAACGGCAAAAGCTGCAAGCATGCATCTAGTTATCATTATCTAAAGACGGATAATAAACCAGAAATGACCATACCGGTCTCCATCTTCTTATGTCGGTGCCAGTGTGGGAACTCACTCCGCACAAAAAACCTCGCTCAAAGGCTCACCGCTGCTAGCGAGTGCACATGCACCGGCCGCATACGCCCGTCTCAAGGTCGAGCCCCGACCGCGAGTCTTGGCATTAACTCCCGTGACACCTTCAGCCATTCAGGGCGTACTATGTCTTGATTGGCTACAGGAACAAAGCATGCGCTAGGCTTCCGGCAATCCCCTATGCTTTCGTCACTTCAATTGCGGCGCTGTGGCCGGCGGTTGATCGCTCGTCTGACAGTCAACTTTCCTTTACCTATTCTCAATTTCCTTATATGCAGAATAAACTCTTCCTACCACTTAAGCATTCCATGTCTTCTCTTCTCTTAGGGAACCGGGGCCTGAAGATGAAAGTTGATGGAGTTTAACTTACTTAACCCCTGCGATTAGTTCATTGGCAGTTTCAGTCTGATTTCGGAATTCATTTATATAACAACGGAATACGGAGTATTCACAATGCCCGTGTGCGTATATTTATAGGTTATAGCTGTGCACACTGATAAAGGTCTTTGGTAATTTAGTTCTAGTCTGCTTCAGTCTTGATCTGGATTATTACAGGAAGTTACACAGCAAATAGTCGTATAAGCAGTATTATAGTACTAGCAGGGGCTGCGAGCTTGAATCTAGTTATTGTTAACTGAAGATGGCTAACGAGCCAGGACTGGCCATACCGATCTGCCTGTTTTTTTGTCCATTCCAGCATCTGCAATAAAGAGTGCGACCAGATTGCTGCAGAACTGTTTTTTTTAGTCGAATAATCTGGAGTTCCTCTGATATATCAGCCCCTAAGGAAACGAAGAAGAGGAGTTGTGATCAGGGATAACACTTGGGTCTGGGTGTCACTAGCTTACGACGGCTAATAAGC